AATTTTTTTTAAAAATTGGAAGTATTTATTCACTTAACCATACCCATTACATCTTAATGTAGTTTTTTCCCATGAAAAACACTATATACTCTAAACCCAAAACATTGGTGAGAAGAGTGGATTTGTTTTTATATACTTACAGTCTCTTAAGTGTCTGATTTAATGGGAGGCCACTGGATTTTTTTCATCTGTGGCTGCATTCAATCAGTTGTCTCATGTAGCATCTGGAAAACACCATACACTGACAAGATAATGAGAGTAAAAGGCAGTGTCTTAATGTTACAATGAAAATAGTTTTGATCTTGCAGACCTGGGTGAGTCCTGGTTCTCGAAGCTGCAGAGCTCTGGGGCTTTAGATTTATTGTGTTTGCACAGGTTTGTCATTCAGAAGGACCAGGGTCCTCTGAAAATCGGTGTCCCGTCTTACTCAAGTGTGTTTCTGTCTCCCTAAGTGGAGATCCCGTGTCGCCACTGTCCACCCCACCCCCAAACCCCCAAGCTAGGCGCTGCATGGTTGTTACCACAGCTTACTGGTGCCTTGTGGGGCTGGTCCATATCACAGGAGGAGCCCACCAGGATATGGTTCACACCCCTGTGGATATCCCCCCAACCCCTCCGTAGTTCCTGCGTCCTGCTGGCAGCGGTGTGCCCACAGGGGCAATCCCTGCCTTACCCCAGCCCATTGCTGCATGCGCGGTGGCCCACCGGTTACTGTGGTTTTGGAGGGCTCCGCGGTGACTCTCTCATTTGCCTGGAGCGCGGCGTCCTCCATTGCCGCCCTCTGCACTGTGTGCTGCCCGCGGGACACCCCTTGACTGCTGCTGCGTCCTGTTTCCTACCTCTGCAGCTGCCTGAGAGCTGGCCGGGGAGACGGGACGCTGGGACGAGGAGAGGCCGCCTCGCTCTTTGTCTGCCCGGCTCACCCACATCTTCACCCGACAGCCTCTACCTGGTTGATGCTGCCGTAGCATATGCCTGTTGCTCAAGTTAACCCGGGGATCCGAACATTTGCGGCTCGTTGGGCGATGTTGCCAATGGCTTTGAGGGCTTGTTCCGCTTCTACCTGGATAACTGATAATTCTAGAATTAATCCATGCCCATGGGACCAGCGGCTTAGATGATTCTAGATAACCTAGATCGATAGCGCGTCCCGTGTTCCTATCAGCCGCTTTCTGTGGAGGTCTAGTGCCTTAACGGTGATGACTGTGGTGACGGGGAATCCGGGTTCGGTTCCTAGAGGGAGCCTAATTGTCCCAACCCAGGAAGGCTGCAGAGACGTATTCTACCTCCCCGCGACCCGGAAGAGCAGTGGTGAAAAACAATACTAGGCTCTTTGGAGATCCTGTAATTGGACTGAGCCCACTTTAAATCTTTTAAGGAGGATCCGTTGCTTGGCAAATCTAGTGCCGGCCGCTGCGGTAATCCCGGCTTCAATGCAGGGTATTGAATTCGGTGCAGTTGAAATGCCGTGCTTGGATTTCTGGCGCGAGTCCACCGCAGGGGAGCCTGCTCGGTCCCCATCCCCCCCTCCCTGCCCCAGTGCATTCCTGGCTGTTAGCCGCGTTTCCCCGGGCTGAAGTGTACACTTGGCGAAAATTAGCGTGCTCAGAGCGAGCTCGAGCTGCCTGAATACTGCCGCTGGGAATCATGGACTGGGAGCGTGATTCTGTTCTGTTTGTGTCGGAGTTTTGCGGAGGCGGGATGACTGGGGCGTTAGTGTTGCGCTGGAGTGAATCTTAGACGCGTGCAAGGCCTACCAGAGCGAAAGCTTCTTGCCAGGAATGATTTTGTTACGGACGAAGGTGAACGTGGGAGGTTTGAAGAGATGCAGATCTCCTGTAGCTCTCGGACTATAAACGATGCAAACCGCCAGCATTATTCCCCGACCCGCCGACAGCTTCTGGGAAACCAGCCCTTCGGGTGGTGGTAACTGGAGGGTCTGTTCCAAAGCTGAAACTGAAAGGCGTGCCAAGTGGAGTATACGCTTAATTTAAATCATTTCAGACAACCCGACCCTACTCGGGCACGGACAAGGTTGGCACACCCACAGCTCTTCCGTGGGCGGCGGTATTTGGCGTTTCGTTTGCGGAGCGACTTGTCTGGCTTATCGATAGCCGGAGGTGGTAGCGTGCTGTAACCATTTAGGCCCCCCTTAGCGATGTGTCTGTCAGCTTGACCAGTGGCGTTCCGCTGCCCGAGGTTGAGCTGTGGTAAGTCTGTGCTGCTCTTAAATGTCCAGGACCATGTGCCACACTACTCAGCGCGTGCGCACCCTAGTCCACGGCTGCCAGGGACCCGATAAATCCATTGGTGGTGGGCTTGGATTGCAATTATTTCACATCAAGAAGGAATTCCCTGTAAGAGTAGATCAAAAGGTTGCGTTAAGTCCCCGCCTCTTGTACACATTGTCTGTCGCCCCTCAGATTGCCCACTTGGGGTTGGCACCTGGCCTAAAACGCTGTAACCAGGTTTGGGTGGGTGGTTCTGCAGGAGGAACATGAAGGAGCGAGTGAGCACGATGGATCCCTTGCGGTTCCTTCTTGTGTGGGGGGGCCACCCCAGGCAGGAATGAACAGATGTGCCCCAAGAGCTGGCTGGGAGAGTGAGGGGTGAGCTGCTGCCCTCTGGCCGCAGACCTGACCTGGGCTCCGGTAGCTTATGCTTAACGTGACCCCAGGCTCACTTCTCCCTGGCCTGGCACTTGCGTGGCCTTACCCCTCCCCCAATTGCATGTGCATGTGCCTCTCTCTGGCTCCCTCTTGTGGAGTAAAGTGAAGCTAAGGGAGAGCCGTTCCTGCTCACCGTTGTTCCTTAACTTTCTGTAGAGGGTGACCTGGTAGGACTGGACTTAGGACTTCAACTTGAAACGGTTAGGACACTAATCGTGACCTGATTTAGCATTTGTTAGTCATGGAATAGTGCAGTTTTAAATAAAAACCTGTTATTTTAGACACTGTATACTTACAGAGCTCTTGTAAAAAGGAACAATGAACCCCATTATATATTAGAAGTTTGTTAGTTTATGATATATACCATTTGATTACCATCCTAATCACATATTTTAGTTCTGTGTTGTTCATTAATGTTTTACCAAGTGATAGACTTGCTTTAACATGCAATATTTTAGTTTTGGGTGGTTATTATTATTCTTTTAGTTATAACCCAAGGTAATTCAATTTTTCTTTTTGATTAACAGACATATGTAGAGTGTGTCGGTCAGAAGGAACACCCGAGAAACCTCTTTATCACCCTTGTGTATGTACTGGCAGTATTAAGTTCATCCATCAAGAATGGTGAGTCATCCTTTTAGAAAACTTGATGTTGGAGCTCCAGTTTTGTCATCTATGTAAGGTGGATTGTTTTAATGAACTTCCTCTATAATTAGTTTTTAAAAAATTTTTGTTGGGAAAATTTGCAAATTACCCATATTCCTTAGTCCCATGCTTTGTTATTTGGTAGATTGTCTTCCAGGTGCAGGTGAGTGCCATTGTTTAGTCTGCCATGAAGAGCTCATTTGGTTCACTGGAAGTGTTAATTCAGGTCTTCTAGTTTTGCTTGGCCTGATAACAGCTTACATTATGAAATGCTTTGTGCCGTGTAGTGAGTGCTCAGTGCTTCTACACATTTTACCTCATTTAATCCTTACAAAAACCATGAGGTGGAGTTGTTGTTGTTGTTGTTGCTGCTGTTATTATTATTGTTATTGTTATTCAGATGAGGAAACTGAAGTATAGAAAGGTTAAATAACTTGTCCTAGGTCACATAGCCAGCAACTTAGAGACAGAACCAGGATTCAGACCTAGCCCCCTGGGTGGCAGTATTATCAGACCAGTGTTAGAACTGATGTTGATGCCTGAAGGTTCTTCATATTCAGTTAGCTTTGAGGAGATTACAATTTAGATTAATTTAATCTTTTTAATAGTAGGAATACATACAGAGGGTGCCAAAAATGTATACATATTTTAAGAAAGGAAAAAACTCTTAAAATTGTAATACTCAATATGTATGAGTATACCAGTAACAAAAGATGAATACAAGTCATGTTTGCCTTCTGCAATTATAAGAGGTGCTCAAAGGGGTTACCATCAGCGTCCAGACACTTCTGATTACGGCGAACTGCTTGAGCAACGCTGACCATAGTGTCCACTTGTATGGCTGCACATGCCGTTTCAGTTTCTTCCTGAAGTACCGCCAGGGTAGCCAGTTTTCTACGGTACACCACATCCTTTAGGGTCCCCCATAGGTAGTAGTCAAGGGGTGTTAAGTTGGAGGTTCTGTTGCATACTCGCACCTCCATTGTCATACTTGTACAACAGTCTCGAATGTCAAATACCACTTCAAAATGGTCTTGTGCTCCTCGAGCAGCAACCGTGCTTCCGCCGTTTCCTTTGACTGGCCTGCCTGTCGCATGCTGACGCTAGCATTCATTTGATTAATGCCATCTTTTGAGTGAACATCATACTACACATTGCTATCATAATTCAGTTCAACTTCAAAAAGTAATACATAGATAACAGCTCTTAAAATGTGTATACATTTTTTTGGCACCCCCGGTATTTTTATCTTTACTGTAAGTTATTGTTTTGTACTCTTAGAAGGCATCTGGTATAAAACGTTGGGAATATTCTAAATTTGGAATTGTCAAAATTGTAAAAGCTCTATGATGTGTAAAGTTTTAATGAAACAGAACATTAGTCTTCAATCAGACCTTAAAGCTTCCTTGTTAAAAAATACTGTACTTACGAGTGTATTTGTAATTGCAGCTTAGTTCAGTGGCTGAAACACAGTCGAAAAGAATACTGTGAATTATGCAAGCACAGATTTGCTTTCACACCAAGTAAGTAACTTTAGTTTTCACTGTGTATTTGGGTTATAACTGGCCACATGAAGGCGTTTAACAAGTGAAAAGTAACTATTTTCAACACAGTTTGTCTTTGATAGTAATGGGAAGAAGTATTGCTATAACATTTTAGAAAATATTTTACAAAAATACTTGTTGGCTTTTAACACATATTTGTAAGACAGATTGATTTAATTTGTGGGATTTTTTTCTTCATATTTTTATTATGGACAAGTTCAAATATATGCAAAAGTATAATGAGCCCACATGCAGGTATCCATCAGTTTAATCCATTTTCAACTCATGGCCTTTACATGGCATTAATCATGCTCTTGTTCTCCACCTCTTCATCCTTTTTTTTTTAGGCTGAGCCATCCTGCCACCTGTTGGCAGCTCAGCTCGGGCTGGGCATCGAACCACTGTTGCTCAGAGCTCGCACTCTTGAGCGAGCTCTTAACCAACTGAGCCACTTGGCCGGCCCTTGTCCATTCTTTTTAAAGCAAATCCCATTATTTACAATTTTATTTGTATATATTTTAATGTGTATCTCTAAAAAGTAATGGTTCTTTTTTAAAAATATAATTATAATACCATTATTTACCCAGAAAAATTAATAACGATGTCTTGATTGTATCAAATATACCACTGTTCAAATTTGGGATATCTTTTGAGTTAAAATTGTGTAGGTTGGAATAATAATAAAGACAAAGTTTTAATTCAATTTTTTAATGTATTGAGGGGATATTGGTTGATAAAATTATGTAGGTTTCAAGCGTATTTCTGTAACACATCATCTGTATATTGCATTATGTACTCGCCACCCAGAGTCAGATCACCTCCTGTCACCTCCCTACCAACTCCCTGCCCTTTGGTAACCGCTATATTGTTGCCTGTGTCTATGTTAACTCACTTTTTTAAATGAGACTTTTAAGCTCAAAATTTTGTAAGCCTATGGTAAATATTTTGCAGGTCTTTAAAATTTCAATTATATTTTATAATTCCTCTACCTACTGATTGATATTTAATGTTGTTCATGGTAAACAATTAGAGGACTCTTCTGGCAGATTATTAAAAATGTGAAGCGTAATTTTTATTCTGGATCCTAGTACATTGCCCTCTTCCCCCAAAGATTTTTTTGTGTTTTAGTATATGTTTTTTAAGTACCTTGAGCTGCTGAGTATAAACACTGTAAATTAGTATTAGTTTTAGCTTGGGTTATGTGATGAGTATAAGTGATTAAAGTCATTACAGTTTTCACGTTCGAAGCTTTATATTCATCACCATCAAAATGCCATTTCTCATATTTCATAGTCTTTAATTTTTTGTAGGGCATAAAAACTACAGCTTAGTTTTATAGCAAACTGTAAGACTAGTTGAATATCTTTGTGAAGTTTGATTAGAAATATTTGAGTGAGCCTTTTTACTTTGAGACCAATAAAAACTTGTGTTTATACATTTTAGTTTTCATTTGACAGCCATATGTTCTCTTTATGTTTCTCAAAAACTATTTACTGGTTTAATGACTCGTTCTTATGTATCAAGTATCTTCTTAAAGTAAGTGATCTTTGTGGGTATGTTGTAAAACGTTGCTATTTGTTAAATTGTTTATTCCTTAATGTTTGTAGCTAGGAACATTTTTGTGAAAATGCACTCATAAATTTTAGACATTGATTTTAAAACCTTATACATCATAATTCCTTGTTTTGGCCTCATTGGAGAAAGAGGTGCTTATTTTAACTGTGTTCTTTTGGAGATAACCTGCGGTAGAACAGTGGTTTTCATTGGAACCATTTAAAAAAAGGAAATCTTTCTAAAACATGGCAAACCCTCTTTCTCTGACTGTATTGAACCACATCTTGCAGAGTTGAAAAGCCCTGAATTGACTTACCATTTGGAAGTTAACTATTGTGTTAAAATCAGGAGGTGGAGGCTTACAAATGCCGTGGGTTGTTTGCTCCACATAAAATGGCTCTCTGGAGACTGCTGTGCTTTTTGAATGCTGTGCTGAAGGCTGGTATTTGAAGGGAGGTTTGTTCTTAATGACTTGTCATCAGCTTCATCTTTTATTCCTTTTGTTTTATCTGATCTTTCGTATTGGAAACCATATGATTATATTGTTTGAATGCTAAAATATGTGTAAATTAGTTTTGCATGAAGTTCATGGCTGTGAGTGAGGGATGTGGATGTCCCTTGAGTCTTTTTTTCCTGCTCAGAGGCCTTTTGTGTTGGCTTCTGCATTTCACATGTGATTTGCTCTGATAAATGACTTTTGGGTAAATGTGGTATTATTATAAATATTTGATTAACTTTTTTATAAGAAATTTATTTAAGTGTAATACAAACATTGAAAGTTAAGAAAGCTCTACATGCCTATTTTATATTTATGAATTAGGCTATTTTTAAATATTCATGAAATTATATACACTTTTTTTTCTAATAGTTTATTCTCCAGATATGCCTTCACGGCTTCCAATCCAAGACATATTTGCTGGACTGGTTACAAGTATTGGCACTGCAATACGATATTGGTTTCATTATACACTTGTGGCCTTCGCATGGTTGGGAGTTGTTCCTCTTACAGCATGTGAGTATTCATTCCTCTGTGGTTAAGAGTTATTTAAACATTGTGTAATTATTTAATATTATACAGTAATATTGCATTATATTTCTGTTCAAATGATAGTTAATTATTTGATGTTGTAATGTCATATGTTAGGAAAGCCTCTCTTAGAAAGTATTATTCATCTGAATTAAGTATTTTTTAATAGGTCATTTTCTTAAATGGATGTAGGAAAGAAAAATACAGCATATAGAGGTTAATAATGAAAGTTCTTGAAATAAATGAAAAAGCAAAATCAATAATTGGAAGGAACTTGAATTTTATTCCTTGGAGTATGTTAGAGCTTCAAGGATTGCAAAAAATGGATTCTTTGGAGAAATCCCCCCCCCCTTAAAAGTCACTCACATATATAGTGGACCTGAATAATTGGGAGGCTTATCTTTCAAATACATGTGCTCTCAGGGAGGTTAGTACACTAACCCTTAGTTGATACCTTTTGGGTTCTTTGTTGTTCTTAAAGGCATGGAGGGAAGTATATGGTGTCAGAGTATATAGTTCGAATTCTTTGGAGTTAAAAGCAAACAAGATTTTTGAATATGCATAAATATAATTAATACCCTCATGTCTCCTTAAAATAAGCTTGATCATTTATGAAAATGAAAATCGTGGGTGATACACCAAATAGCACAGTATGGACTTAGAAGAGTGAATTCGTGAGCTAGAAGATTGAGCAAGGAGTTCTCTAGGATGTGACTCAGAGACAAGCAGTTGCAAGGATGAGGCAAAACTGAGAGATGGAGGCTGCACCGAGCATCTGTCTAGTAAGTAGTTCCAGAAGGCAGAGAGATAATGGAGATGAGGAGAGGATTGGTGTTTTTAGATTGAAAGAGAGAGCTGATCTGATAAAGGACAGACTCAACAAACCCAGAGACATTGGAAAGTTTTCCAGTGCTGACTAGGGTGGTGTGTAGGCGTTACATACACTTCCAGATTATCCCACAAAGGAATGAAGATCAGAGTAGTGTCAGACAAAACCAGCATTTTTTTTCCTTTTTTTTTTTTTTTTTTGCTAAAACTAAAAGTAGACACTTCAAATTGAATGCTAGAAGACAGAAACTTCAGAATTTGACAAATTTTTGAACCTAAAATCTTTTACCCATAAATTATTCTCAGATGGAAAAACAGAATACAGGCATTTTAGTAAATGCAAGGGCTTAGAAAGTTTACCACTTCAAACTATGAAATAAGTGTTTGAGAATATATTTTACTAAAATGAGCAGAAAGGAGCAAGGAATCAGAGAGAGAAAGATGTTAGCTACAAAAAAAAAAAAGAACAAATACTTCTTATAGCTAAGTTAATCTACAGTAATTAATAATTTTTAGTTAATAACAACCTGGAACTAAAATTCTAGACAGTCTTAACATGGGAGAAATTGTGAGGGGAGGATAAGATGTTTGTCATATTTGTGGGGAGATTATAGATGGCACTAGATGTAAATAGGAAATAGAGTGTAACTATGCATTAAAAATACAGGCATAAGGGGCCGGCCGAGTGGCGCGTTGGTTAAGAGTTGGCTTGGGACACCAGCAATGAATAGCAGGCCCCCCACCCCCACCCCGGTTGGGATCCCACATGTGGGCCAGTGATGCTGTGCCATCTACAGCTAAGATGGTGAACAACAGCTCAACCTGGAGCTGGGCTGCCTGCCGTGAGTCGCCAGCCACAGCGTAGGCTGCAGTGGGGCTGGCCGGCAGCGGGTGTGAGCTTTCATGAACTGCCGTGAGCAGCTGTCCAATGGCTGGCGAGCGACTGCCTCACCCGGGAAGAGCACAATGATCACAATACCAACATGCGCCAGTGAAGCAACGTCCTCCACAACTAGACTGACGAACAAAAGGACAGCAACTTGCTTGTTCCCCTTCCCCGATCCCCCAACGCTGTCCCACTCCCCTAATTCCCCAATAAAATTTTTAAAAAAGAAAAAAAATAGAGGTGTAACCAAATAGAATCCAGAACTATTGTAGATGCCTACCTGCATTGTTACCTGATTAACAACAGAGGCCACTGCTGCTCAGTGGAGGAAGAATGGGCTTTTTAATAAACGGTCCAGTGTCAAGTAGACGTCCATATGGGGAAATATAAACCATATCATTATCTCATAGCTAACACAAAAATTTATTCAAAATGGGTCATAAGTGTGATCTAGGAACATTAAAACCAAAAAGTTCTAAAAGAAAATATAGAATTACCATAAAAGAAAATACTGATAATTGGACTTAATTAAAATTAAAAACTTTTATTCATGCTCAGATAACTTTAAGAGAGAAAAGCATGCCACATCGTGAAAGAAGATATTTGCCATACACATATCCTACAAAAGACTTGTATCTAGAGTATATAAAGGACTCTTATAAATCGGTAAGAAAAAGGCAAACAACCCAGTTAAAAAGTGGACAGATGATTTGAACAGGTGTTTCTGGGAGAAGGATTAAAGGCTAATAAGCACATGAAAAGATGCTCAGTACTACAGGTCATCAGGGAAATGCACAAGGAGATACTGCTACATACGCAGCAGAATGGCTAAAATTAATACAAGACAGTGCCAAATGTCTCGTAAGGTTGGACCATCTGGACATACATTGATGGTGGGAGTGTATATGGTGTAACCACTTGGGAAAACTGTTTGGGTAGGACCTGCCAGTGCTAAATACTAGGAATGCCTTAAGAGGCAGCTGTTCCATTCCAGGGAATATAGCTAACAGAACCGAGAGCCTGCTGTCCACTAAAAGACATGTGTATAAGAATCATCACAGCAGCTTTGCTGATAAATGTTAAAAACTGGAACCACCTAAGTGCCTACCAACAGTACTAGAACGGATACATTCTGATTTATCCATACAATGGATACTACACAGCAGTGGGAAAAGCTGACTATTGTGACATGGAATAACGTGGATGATTTTCACTTTTTTGAGAAAAAGAAGCCAGATACAAAAGAGTATGGTTTGTATGATTGCTTTTATGTGATATTTAAAAATAGGCCACATTGATCTATGTTAATAGAGATCAGAATAGTGGTTACCTTTTGCCAGCGATATTGACTTGGAAAGAGCTTGAGGGAGCCTTCTGGGGAGCTAGAAATGTTGAATATCTTGATTTAGTGGCAGTTATCTGAATAAGTACATATATAAAAATTTACCCAATCATACACTTAAGATTTATGTAAATTTTACCCTAATAAAAAGTAATGCAACAAAACTTAAAGGTAATTGCTAGAAGAATAAGACAATTGGTTTTATCCTGGGGAGTAGGAAACAAATAAAATTTGGAAAGTCCAAAAAAAGAAAGACAAAAAGGGAGGGCAGAAGGAGGGAAGTAAAAAAGAGGTAGGATAAGGTTGCAGCATCTGTGATCATAAGGCATTAGATTTCTCTATTGCAAGATAGAGCCTCACAGTTGTGAACGTTTAAAAGTGTTCCACTATGAGAGAGAAGTACAAAGCAGCCCAGATTCATGCTAGAAGGATTTGTTAGCAAATGCTAGCAAAAAATGCTAGCTAGGGAGAGTCTTAGTAGGATGCATTCAAGATGAAAAGCTTTAAAGGGGGAAAAGCATTATATTTCATATTAATAAAAGGCACAGTCCACTGAGAAAATAACACTTAAGAACTTTTATGTATCAGAAAATAGGACTTAGAAATATGGAGAGCATTCACAGTTATAGTGGAAGACTAACACACTTCTCCGAAATCAGTAGATCAAATTATCAAAAACTAAGTAAGGACTTAAGAGGATTTAAGTAACACAGGTAACAAGCTTGAATCTGTTCTGACTTGTTCATACACAGACACACACACACACACACACACAATCTAAATTATGTTACACAGTACATATTCTGTAACAATTTTTCTTTAAGTTAGCAATGTACTGTGTCTGTGTTTTCATGTAAGTACATGTGGAGTTACCTTATCTTTTAATGGATGCATAGCACTCTGTAGTAAGGAGGCCTATCATTTGTGAACCCATTTTTCTATCTATAGACGTGGTTTGTTATTAGTTTTACTTTGTTACAAGCATACTTGCTTTGAATATTTTATATACATATGTAAGTAATTTCTGTTACAGAGAATCTTTTCCTACCATTCCATTGTGAGTTGGCTTTTGAAAACAGCCATTGAAGTCACTGAAAATTTCAGATACAAGGCTACCAGGAATAATTAAACTAATATACAAGCTCTAGTTTCAAAAGAAAATTTCAGCGGTTTCCTCTTGGCCCCTGTTTCCAAATCTCTTTCTGCCTTTTCTGGCTAAGGGATGGTGTCTGTACATTCACCCACACTTCATTTTTCCCTTCATGGCTAGATTTAAGATTTCCTCTTTTGGGGGACCCTTGAATCTGTTTTTTAAAACAATGTTTGTTAGTTTGCTATTCATGCATGGGAACATGTACTCTATTGGTAAGTCCTCTTCGTTGCAAAAATGTGTACTCCCTAAACTGAAAACCTTTATTTCCATGAGCAGACTCAATGGATTTTAGAACACTAGGTTAAAAAAATTCTCCATATTATAATTTTAGAGATATCTTTACTTTAGATTTCTTTTCCTTTTCAGACAAGCTCTTTCAGCAAGTGACTCTAGAGAGAATCTAAACTTTTAAGCGTTACTGTGTAACATTTACTGTTCACTGTCACTATTTTTATACCTCACCATTGTGGCTTAAGTTTAGTATTTTGAGGCTCAGCCTTGTAAAGACTAAATGTTTATTCCAGTGGCATTCACAGTATTCCACTTTACTGCTGTGTATTTGAGCGACTGTGTGAGTTCCTGATGAGAGTCGTGACTGTGTGCTGTCTTGTCCTTTTTTGGTAGGCCGCATCTACAAGTGCTTGTTTACTGGCTCCGTGAGCTCACTACTGACACTGCCACTGGACATGCTGTCCACGTGAGTATGCAACCTTTTGATGCAGACGGGCTCGTTTTCTCCTCCACATACTTATTTTTGTTATATTTTGAAAAGTCTACAACAAATAGTTGTTATTACTGGTGATGACAAGGAAGGAGTAGAGAATATTTTAAACCTATCAAGAGTTTTAATATCGGGAGGGTTCCTCAGCAAGAGAGTGGTTAGGAGGGCTGGCCGAGTGGCTCAGTTGGTTAAGAGCTCGCTCAAGAGTTTGAGCTCTGAGCAACAGCGGTTCGATGCCTGGCCTGAGCTGAGCTGCCGCTAAGCTGCCAATAGGTAGCAGGATGGCTCAGCTAAAAGAAAAAAAAAAAAAAGAGTCGTTAGGATTCCTCTTTTAATCAGAGTATATTTCAGATACTATCCGAGGGCCACATCAGTTGAATTAAGTTTGGAGCTACTAGGCCGTGGTTTCCCAAATTGACCCTTCCTCAGGTATTCCATGGGGGAAAAACGCCATTCCATAATGACAGTGGATTTCCAAAGGCCACTAAGATTCTTGAGTTGTCTTTGAATTGTCCTGAGCTCAGGATAGACTAGGGAAGGATAAGCCCCTCCAGAAAGGAAGAGAACAAAGAGGTCTTCAGTATTATAATACTCCATGTATTTTCGTGTATGATTATAAAGGAACCATACTTCGTCTATCTGAAGTTGTTGAGGAACTGATACACTTTTGGTGTACTTGCAGTTAGCATGAAAATGTAATCTGCTTTCTAAGTGACAGATTTCTGAAGTGTGTTACAGACTTCATCTTACACATCACATACTGGGTATCTCTCGGCCATCCTTTCTTTACATTGTCATCAGGCCTTTCTGGGAGTGCTTGTCTGCCTTTCTGATTGGTTGATTCTGTTCATTTGTGTGGGCTAACGCATCAGCTCACCAAGTTTGTAAAACTGTGTAAAATAAGGACAAGGAGATTCTTAGTGAGGGTTGAACAGAGTTCTTCATTTTAGTCAATTACATACATAGTAGGCCTTTTTTGGCACTTGTGGTGTTTTGCTTACCACCTTCCTATTTCTAAGACATGTTCAAAGAGAGGCAATGGATAGTTAATTTCTGTGTAGTTTTAATGTTATTCTTTGCCTACTAAAATATAAACACATAATACAAATGTATAAAATATATTTGGCCAGCTTATAATATATGTAGAATTTCATCGTCCTTAGAAATAATTCTTTTTGAGAAATTGATTTTCACCCAGAAAATTCTGAGTTTTCTGGCTGTTCTTTCTAAGTTTTTACTGTAAAATGAAATGTTACCTGTGGTTTCTTAATTTTAGGTGTTCTTTGGAGTAATGTATATAATTTTTTTTTAATAGGGACAATTTATTGGCGGATTGTTTGCAGGGTTGCTTTGTGGTGACATGCACACTGTGCGCGTTCATCAGCCTGGTGTGGTTGCGTGAGCAGATTGTCCACGGGGGAGCGCCGGTGTGGTTGGAGCACGCGGCTCCACCCTTCAATGCTGCTGGGCACCCCCAGAATGAGGTAACGCCCTTCACCCTGAGCTCATGTTGTGCGGGCAGCACACAAGAATTATGGTCACCCTCTAAGACCTAAACCCTTGGCTTCTGTGTTCCTCATTGCAAAACAGGATTGTGAAAAGGTTTGGAAGGAAATAAGGGGGTGTGAAAATCACAAGAATGCCACTGTCACTTTGCCTCCTCATTTTCTGGCGAGACTGGGAACAGTATTGGGGGTATACTAAGGTGCCCTTTCATTCCCTCTGCCTGGGTTAACTACTTAACGCTGGCTTGGATGATAAAATACAAACTTCCTGCACATGCCCCTGACTTGCTGGGTAACAAACAGTAAGGAGGCTGCCTACCCTGTTTGTTCATCAGTTTTTTTGTGTGTAAAATGTCCCACCTTCACTGCTTCCAGGAGGAACATGCCCCAAAGTAGAAAAATTGGAACGCTATTGATAACAATTTGTGCAATTTTACTTTTTCTTTATGACAGATGGCATGCTTAGATGCAAGAGCATTTGCTAGAGCCATTAAGAAGGAGGTTATAATAAATGATATTTAGCATTTTGCATGCTGAGAAATTATGGGGCTGAAAACATCAAAAATTAGCTACTTACATATGAAAACAGTTCACACTTCATAAAATTTTATTATGAAAAAAATGACTGTAAAGATACTCGATAATTAACAACTTAATTTTTCATTTAGTGACCTACTTTTGTTATCGTGTGGATTGATTTCATCAAATTCTGCCATACCTTTTTCTCTACAGGATTAAGCGTGCAACTTCTCCTTTGAAAACCACACATACAAAACGGGACTATAAGGAAAGGATACTGTGCTTATCTAGTATTAACACTTGATCATTGTACCTCATGTTTTGAAGCCTTTAGTGCATTTCTTTTAGAAGGTTTGACTCTGTGGGAGTTGAGTGTTTGAATTAAGTACAACTATGTCTTTGCTTGTGGTAGGTAGCAGAGCTCAGGACGAGCAGAGAAGAGGGTGTGGGAACTGAGAAAGTCTATCTGGACAGCTTACCTGCTGGGCAGAAATTAGACATGTTTTCCTTGAGTGTTTAGCTGATAACTGAGAATTAAGTTATGCGTCTGTACTCGCATGTGTATAAACAAATAGATGCATAAATAAATAAATTTTCATCCCTGAGGCGGTCATTAGACACAGGAGCTGTCCTACAAAGAAGGATTATAGAATGATGTAGTCAAGATAGCCAGATTTGTTCACCAGTCTTCTGTAATGCTTCATGAAATGGTAATCCCCCAATTGTACTGAGTGGCTGTATACACTGAAGTGAGTTCATGTCCTTATATGCCAAGTTGGTGCAAGGCCAGGTGCATTTAGAAAAGATGACTTTGAGAGGTGTTTTTTAAATTTTAATAGAGTTTGTGTTTGATAGCTAATTTGGTTGTTTTTTTTAGAAAGCAGAACACAATTTGGAAATATGTAGAGCGAAACTGAGACACATTAGCTAAATATCTGGGCCCTTTTGTCATTTCAGGCTCCAGCAGGAGGAAATGGTGCTGAAAATGTTGCCCCTGACCAGCCCGCTGACGCAGCAGCCGAGCATGCCGTGGTGGGGGAGAACCCAGATGCCCAGGACGGGCCGGCCGAGGAGGAGGAGGAGGAGAATGAGGAAGAAGACGAGGCCGGCGGGGAGGACGCGGCCGACGCCAACAACGGGGCCCAGGGTAATGGCCGCGGCGCCGTCCTTCCCTTCCTGCTGGACAATAAGTGCACCCCCAGCTTGCCTTGGGGAGAAGGACTGGAATTTTCAAAATCTGATGGGTTTCCAGTTCTATTTCTGGCCTGTTTTTACTTTATTTTGGCAAACTTGCGTTTATGGCTATACACATGTATACTTCTTTTTTTTCTGTGAAGCAGAACACATTTTGTGTTTTAAAATCCCACACTACGCAGGACTTTTGTAAGATGGATAAGAAGAAATTATTTGTAAGTTGGAAGAGATCCTAGTTTTTTTTTTAAAAAAGGCATTTGATACAGATTTATCTTCTAGCTCAGCACCTCCTTTTCTGTCCTCCCACCCCAGAGTTTAAGCGCTACACTGCCTCTGGGTCCGCTTGACATTGCTGATATCTGTGTGCCAGGCACTCACACGCCAGGCACCTGCCTTCATGGAGTTTCTGCTCCAGTGAAACAGTAGGAATATCCAAGGGAGCAAAGTTGTCATTACACATCGATCGTTGTGCAGGTTTCTGAGGATGCTACTGGGAGAGCCCTGTTCTAAACCAGATCCCGCGGGTAGCTCAGAGGGAGTGACGCTTGAGCTGAGGCCTGAGGAGTGAGCAAGAGCTGGTTGTAGAAGGGCAGCGAGGGGCCTTTGCAGGAAGAGGCGAGTGTGTCCAGAGGCTCGGAGAACGCAGCTCGCCCACGGCCCTGGGCTCTGTCTCTTGGTCCAGTGCAGTCGTTCCCAACTGACTGTTTTTCTTCCTTTCTTGCTCCACATAGTATTTCTTTCTATTGCTCCCTTCCCTTTAAAACCTTTCAGTGGTTTTAAAATCTTCACTTTAGAATCTTTTCAGTGATACCACAGAGCAGAATGAAGTCCATGCTTCCCGTTGCTCCTGTGTGAGCGCATCCCTGTCTGTCTGCCTTTCGTCTCTACCTCCTGCCTCCTCGCCCGGCGAACCCCAGCCTCCTGGCTTCCTCACTTTATCCTCCACCACCAGTCATCCCTGGTTCAGAGCTGTGAATGCCTCTTTTCACATAACCCTATTTATTTCCTTTGTAGCACTTACCACGATCTAGAATCACCTGATTTATTTGTATGTTGTATTTCTTTATATATTCTTATTGCCTAATAAGCACATACTCGCATGGGAAAATTTTAAATGTGGTTTAGCTTCTCAACAACAGCTTATAAAACACCGAATTAAGAGAGTGCATTTTATCATTTATAGTTCAGGTTCCGTCAGTAATCTTTAAACTACAATTATGTTTTCAGACGACATGAACTGGAACGCATTAGAATGGGACCGAGCTGCAGAAGAGCTGACGTGGGAGAGAGTGAGTCAGACGTCTATCAGGCATCCTAGTGTTTTCATTCTGAAGTGCTTTTAAAGTTGGGCATATTTAGCTGTATACACTAAATTCGTAGTTACATTTGATGAAAACTTTAATAGAACTTTAATTTCTAGAAAAAGTTAGGTGATGTTTTGTTTGTGGTAACAGTATTAAAAATATTATGATGAATATTTATTGATGACCTTTTTTCTACTAGACTTTAATACAAACCTTGCTCTACTTAGGGAATGTTTAACCTGAAATTGTGGACTTTCAAAAAATTAAGTAAAAGTTTAAATTTAAGTATTATTCTGATGCTTTAGTTGACATTGTAATCTATCATGAAATCTTGATTGGCTCTGTATCTAATGTCAGAGTAAAAGCCAACATGCAGTTTTTTTATTTTATAATCATGATTTGGAATAAAAGAAGACTTGAAATATAAAACTCCCCAAACAGAAGTTTTTTACTCTCTGAAAATGATAGGCCATATTGGAAAGTAGTGGGTAAAGATTATGTTTAAAGATATTGAAAAGAAAATGAGACTTTTTCATAAATAGAATTTAAAAATCCTATTTTATCTTGAATTAATGCATATTATTATTTATTTTAGATGCTAGGACTTGATGGATCACTAGTTTTTCTAGTAAGTAAAGCTAATATTTTTTAATAATAGAATTGTGACTTAATTATTTTAGTGATTCAGTGATTTAGATTTTTCAATATGTGTTGGCTTTTTATACTAAAGATCAAAATGCCCTTTGATTTTTGATTAGTCGATATGTTGAAAAAAGTTTATGTGTATTGAAAATATTGGCAGAGCATAAAGGTAATACCATTTAAAAAGGAAATTACTAAATATTTGATTTTTAGAAAAGAAAACGAAATACGAAGTTAATGGTAGTTAAGAAGACCTTGGTCTTGTAACGTTCCCCTTTGCAGTGTTTAATGCCTAAACTGGTGGGAACCGAGCAGCTTGGTGTTCACAGTGAGAGCCTTAGGCTCATCGTGGGTTTCCCCTTTTTGCCAAACCCCGTCTTTACCTTTAGTAAAGAGTACAATTCAAAGGTGAGGGACAACTCTTCAAAGAACTTGTTCTTTAAAGGAGAAGTGATGCTTTTCTTCTTAAAGATTCTGTAATATAAAATCGCTTGCCATTTGGGATTTTTAAATGGCTTTGGGTATTAAGATGACTTTGGCTGCTGGTAGCAGAACCCCTAGTGACCAAAACAGTAACATAAGAAGTTCAGAGGAAGGATGGGCTTGAGGGGTGCTTGATCCACAGGCCCAACAGTGTCATCAAAGACCCAAATAATTTCCATCCACTTTCTCTCCTGTCAGCAGTGTTGGCTTCCTCCTCTGACTGGCTCCAGATGGGAGCCAGAATAGGAAGTTGAGGTGCATAGCTGTACTGAAGAATGTACCTGGTGGTAATTCACAGATTAGTGAGAATGTGAGACTAGCGAGCTCCTGTTCAAGGTTTGATCACGGTCAGTATAGAAGGTGTCTACATAAATGGCTACATAGTCATTTATACCCCTCACCTCGGCAGTCCCTCATAGATGAGTGACAGAGTATTGAGGCAGTGGTGTTGACTCAAACCCATTCTGATGATTGGAAAAGACCATTTGCAGAGTGATGTCATTCATTCTTGGAAAATTATTTTTAGTATCTACCATGTCCCAGCTATTATGATAGTTCCTGGAGATTCAGAGATGAATGCAGCAGGGTCCCTGTTCTCAAAGATACTTTATAGTTTAGTAGAGAAAAATGAGTACGTGCATGAGGAACTTGAGAGGTACTGTGTGTGAAAGACTCCGTGACAGAAGGTGTGCATAGGACACGAGAGGTACAGAAGAGGGCTTGGTCAGGTGTTTCCCAGGGGAGTTGGTCAGGGAATTTTTAGAGAAGGTATCTTAGAGGTTGAGGCACAAAATATTTTGGGGATAAAAGGACAGTTTGGGAGCCTTAAGGCAGAGAAGCTGAAACAATTCAGGGGCGGTGAGCTGACGTGGTGAGTAGGAGTGTAGCAGTTGGTCATTTTTTAGACAAACTAATCACCCTTCCTGCCCTTGGATTTGTGGCACGTTGGGCACCTGATCAAAATAATCTTTCTAAAAAGAAAACCTTGCAATGTTGGTGGCTCCTTTGGGAAGGGTCATTTAACTGGATGTTTGGAGTGCAGGGGAGGTGGTGGACCTAGACAAGTGAGCTTGGACATTCTGGTGTCAGCATGACTAAAGTGTATGTGACACAGTTAGAGGAATAGGTGGTAGCAGCCATCTTGGAGGTGATAATACGTAACTATGGAAGTGGACCAGTGGCCAGTGAGAATGAGTATTCTGAGGCATGAACAAAGAAAGCCAGGACACCATAGGGAGACAAGGGACCAGGGGAGATCCAGTGACCTTGCAGAAGTCATGAGAACAAAATGGGCACTGAAAGAAGCACTGTGCAGTTTACATTAATATGTTTTTAAGAATTAATGTAGTTTACAAATTTTTCTTCATTTGGAGTTTTTTTCAGTGTCATTTGCTTTAATGCAGTCTGGCAGTTATTTATGAGAATCTGTGTAATTTGTGGAGGATTATTAATTTCTGAACAGGAAATGTTTAATGGATTAATTCCTTTGATTTTTTTTTCCACATGTAACATGTACTTTGAGTTTTATTTAGTTTAGTTTTATAAACTAATGAAAAATGTAAAGTTGCACATAATTTTTGGAATGAAATCTATTATATAGAGTGAACATTTCAATCTTCTAACTGAATATGTGGAGTCATCTAATTAAACATATCGAATAGGAGTTGAATATGTTTTATTAATGCTCTTTTTCTTTAGGAACATGTCTTCTGGGTGGTGTCTTTAAACACACTGTTCATTCTTGTTTTTGGTAAGTGGTGTTTATGCTTTTGTTTATGGTATTATGGTAGGAGGTTAGTTTTCCAGAAGCCTTCTTATATAGGTTTTTGTTTTGTTTTTAAACATAGGAATATATGTAACAATTTAAATAGGAATCCTGTACAGAGCTTTTGTAAGCAACATTGACTTCAGCAACCTGTCGTTACCTACAGTCTCCGCTTCTGCGGGGCGTTTCTGTCTCTCTGTAGAAGCCGATTTTAGACTGACTTGAGAATATACAGTATCCCATGTGGGGAATTAACTTTGCGCTGATTACCTGTGTGCTCCTTCCTGTGGTAAAAGATCTCATTGCCGTCTGTCAAAATCCTGACCAAGACCTTACCAGAGACCCTGGCTTGGGAGCTGTCACCAGAGATGGTTGTGGGCTTGAGGGAAGACAGTGAACCTTCCCCAAGAACCAGATCTCAGTAAATGCAAAGTCTCTACCAGACAATCTCACAACTGTAGCTGTGAGGATTGTGACAACACATGAGTCCCTCCCTTTGGGAGTCATTAGTGTAAGGAAGGAGGGTGGAGGAGACGCAGTGGACAGGCTCTTCTGCTTTGGGAAAGATAGGTAAACTAAGTCAATTAAACCAAGGCCTTAGAATTCAATTCCTGCATCTCTCAAGGAAGAGAGGGTGGAGTCTGATGGAATCAGGTTATTGTTGGGCTGTGCTATGATTGTGTCGCAGAGAGAGACCTCCGGCTCCAGAGTTCTCTAGAGCCATGGTCTTTGAGAAGCCCCTTTCTTTAATGCATGTGATTTACTTCTCAGTTCTGCTGAGGAGGAAGGAGTAGATTTCCCAAGGATCTTCTGCTGAATTCTCAGGTCTTTGCTTTGTGTTGAGGATCACATTGTTGTCCAGAAAGTGCTTGTCTTCAGCAGGAAGCCATGTGGTCAGAAAGACATGGACTATGTAGATAGACGATGAGACAAAAAAATTAATTTCTGAATATTACCTGTGCAGAGCAAAAGAAAATGACAGGTGACTTGCTGAAACAGAACATTTTGAAAAAAGATGGTGAAAATTAATAAAAAGCTCATTCTTTGTTTCCGCTTGTGTATAGGGGTGAAAATGTGTTTGCAGATTATTCTGCATTTTTTTTTCATTATGTAAAATAATTGGTATATAGAGTGTGAAACTGTTTTTTGATCTTGACCAAGTTTTATTTGAGAGAAAACATGATCTATAGAATTTAGTCTTTGCTCTCGCAAGAAAAGCTTAATGCTAAATTAATGTTTGGAGGAACAAGTCGCCTTTAAAACATCAATTAATAGATGTCAGAACTCTTGTTTATATAATATAAAGCAAATCTCATCTAAGTAGATTTCTAATGCAATCTCCCGAGCTTATATAAACATGTGAAATGAATTTGTCTTAGCAAACTTATATATATTATACTTAGGATCTCTTGAAATGAAACAAGAAGTTTTCTTCCTTTTTAGGCATGTAGGTGAACACAGTCATTGGAATTGAGCACACTCATGTTTCTTTCCTACTTGGATTGCTCTACTGCAATTTTCCTCTGGCATTTTCTGGATTCTTGTGGTCATGTACTTCACAGAAATAAACCTTACAACACTGCTGTCTTCCAGCAGAAGAGAATGACCCTGGGAAACTGACCTTAATGTCAGGATACCTCTCTGGTAGTTACTGTGTAATGGGGTAGAAACTGATTGTTACAGTTGGTGCTCAGGTTAATATTTACATATGTAAATAGAGTTGAAATTTGAAGGTTGCCTTTCCCAGGGGCCGCCTTGAGTTACCCTGAGGGGGCTGTGAGAACAAAATAAGAAAAATTACGCATATGTTCTCTTCTTACCATTTAAAATTTTCTTGTACTTTATAATACACATAATATATATTAGTAAAATAATACATGTGTCTAATTTACAATTAAATTTTAAATAAATTTTAGACCCATAAATAAATTTCTACCCATAGAATACTTGATCACAAATGTTTGGCAGATCCCTGTAGATTCACTCTAACTTTTGTCTTAATGGCTGAGCCCCCTCCTCCCTTCCTTAATATTCTAAGCTGTTCAGTTTTTTTTGCAATATATAAAAGATAATTTTTTTTTAAGATTTAAAAATTTTATTGGGGAATTGGGGAAGCGGAACAGTGCTGGGGAATTGGGGAAGGGGAGCAGCCAAGTTGCTGTCCTTCAGCCTTAGTTGTGGAGAGCGCAGCTAGCTCAGCTCCGAGTCCAGTCGCCATCCAGCTGCCCGTGGGCAGCTCGTGGTCACTCAGCTCAAAGTGCTGTGTTCAATTTTAGTTGCGGGTGGTACAGCCCACCATCACATGCGGGAGTTGAACTGGAAACCTTGTTGCTAAGAGCACACACTCTAACCACTGAGTCATCCAGCCGCCCATGGGCAGCTCAGGGCAGCTCAGCTCAAGGTGCCTGTTCAATCTTAGTGGTTGGTGGGTGTAGCCCACCATCTCATGTGGGAGTCGAACCGGCAACCTTGTTGTTAGGAGCACGTGCTCTCACCAGCTGAGCCTTCAGCCATCCGTTGGCAGCTCAGCAGCAGCTCAGCTCCGGCTCAGCTCACTGGCCCATGTGGGAATCAAACCGGCAACCCTGTTGCTCAGAGCTCGTGCTCTTAACCAACTGAGCCACTCGGCCAACCCTGATCATTAAATTTTAATAAGAACAAATTTAAATTTTATTAACATGGCAAGAAAGACTTGAGGAAAAGAAACTAAAAATTCTTACCATAAGAATTTTAAGGATATTTTTTTATTTAACCATAATATCATTATCACACCTTACAAAATTATCAGAATTGAATATTTTCTAGTAATCCAACATATTAAAAATTCCTAGATTGTTTTCTGAAATGTCGTTTTATAGTTGGTTTGTTTGAATGAGGATCCAAATGAGGCCCACACGTTACTTTCGGTTAATTCTTTTCATCTAGAATATTCTTTTGCCCCTCCCCCACATTTTGCCATTGATTTGTTGAAGACACTTAGGTCAGCTGTCCTGTTAGTGTTTGGTGTTTCCATTTGTCTGACTGCTTCTTGTTGATGTCGGTTACCTTGCCCCTTTTTCTCCGTGTTTTCCAAGGGCCTGATTAGATTCAGGCTCAGTAGGTTTGGGACAAATCCTTCACTGGTCATACTTTGCCTATTAATACAACGTATCAGGAGGTAGATGATGTCTCATTCTCCACCTTTATCTGTGGTTCATGTGATATCATTTTGGAGCCTGTACTGGTAGCTCTTCATTTTTCCCTTACGCATCAGATAGTGATCTGTGTGGGTAGTATTTTAGTATCATGCAAATATTTAGTGTTCCATCAACATTTCACCTAATGATTTTATTATCCCTTGATGATAGTTGCCTGAAATAATTTATGTTATTAGGCACTGTAAAATGATTTCTATCAAATTCTGTCATTTTTTACGTTTATTGGCTGGCTTTTCTGTAAAGAACTTATTTTTATCAACTCAAGCTATTTAGTTAGTCCAAACTTGTTAGTTCAGATGGAGCAGAACAGATGCACATTTTTTCCCCTTTAATTATTAGTTTTCAGGGTAAGGAATTGGTGCACTAACTGCTTCCATTGGTGATAAAAGTGTTTTTTGTTATGTTAACTTTTTTTCCCTTTTGTTTTTGTTTTTGGCCTGCCACTGTTTTAATATTATGACACTCATGGATTTATAAGAGTTCAGTATGTTTCCATCAGTTTTGGTCATTGTTGTTGTTATTTTGATACTCACCTCATCTTTCTTTTGCCTGTGACACCCTCTTCACAATGGTTTCTGTGTCCTTTTGCCGTGAGCCTATTAGACCTTGATAATTTTGTTGTTCTCTAGTTATAGAGAATGTCCTAGGAAGTACATTTTTGACCCCAGTTCTGGAATGTTCCATTTCCTTAAGAAGCCCTGGTTCCTTTTAGTGGGCGATGGTATTAGAAGTTTTCGTTGTTTTGATTTTGAAGTTTTCATTGAATTTTTTTCCTCCCTTTTAGCATTTTGTCCTTACCACATTGGTCATTTCTCCCTTGTTGGTTTGGGATTTGAAGAACATGTGAGTATAATACTTTTACAAACTTACTTTCATTAATTACCCTCCCCCTAATTTGATATTTGTTGAGAAGTAATAATATTGTAAAAAGTTCCTTCATTTCTCAGTTGGCCTTATACAAAGGAATAGTGATCCAAAACCATCTTGTTCTTTTAAAACTGGCAGTGGCTCAAGACACAGTAGGTCACGTTGCCAGCTAAGAAGATGTGCTCTGAAATCCCGTAATGCACTCACTGTCTTCCTTCCTGTTGGGTGGGCCAGGGGCATACTGTGGGAAATTTTTCTTGCAGGCTGACTTTGAACCAATTCCATGAACTTGAGTGCTCCCTTCTTTCCCTTTTCTCCTTAGTGAATTTAGCACAGTAACAATGTAACAGTCAATTAAAACAATGGTTTGCCTTGGAATGATGGGCTGTAGTGTTTTTAAAGAATTTGCTTTAATTTTGACATTTTATCATTGTTTTTCAGAGGTAGGTAAATATTTGGATGTACACTTGCTTTTTTGGGGGTGGTGCAGAAAGATTTCAGTCTTTTCAGGATGAGCTGACATATCTGAGATACTAGGTTCAGTTTGTGTATGTGAATCCTGAGAGATCACATTGTGAATGTTCTGAAAAGGCAAAGAGATATATTCCAGTATTTAATGTAGCTCTCTGAATTCTCGCTAATTGAATGCAG